AGGCTAACTTTATTATCTTAAAAAAAAGTTTCAAATTAAAAGATTAGCAAGGAAATTGGAAATTAAAGAGAGTTCCAAGCACTAACCCTAAACCCTGAGGTTGGACATACAGTTCACATTCTGTTTTCAAGATTTCAAAATGCAACTATCTCCATAAAGGGTTAAAATTTATTTAATATAGCTTAACAAATTATATAAACACCACATTGTATCATAATTTACAAGATGTTCATGTACTACATCACAAAAAAACAATTTTTTGAAATTATTTTATATGATTTATTTCTGCTTTGTAAAAGTAAAAAGGATTCAATGACTGAGAAAATTCAAAACACTACAGAAGTTTTATTAAAATTATAAAATTTACAGACTAAAACAAACTACTGAATTTAAAACCATAAAACATTACTCGATTATTAAATCTAATTATTCTAATTTTTTAATCTTATCAACGATTTGCATCTTACAAAGGTATTCAATTACAAACTAAAATAATGAAATTGATTTCTACATGCAATACACACATACTTGGTTGAGTAAAATAAAAATTAACTTTCAGTAATTGTAGTTTATATAAAAAAATGTCATTTTGGATTTGATTCAGTAATTTACACTAAACATGTTACTTTACATTCATTTTAGTAATTTACACTACGGTAACAGTTCTTTTACATCTGTACCTAACATACCTAACAGAAGGGCTGCCCATAAATTGTGTTGTATCACATATAGACTCTAAAACATATTCTAGTTACTGAATCTGGCATTTGAAGTAATATCTAATCCAATCATTCATGCTTAATCCGCTTGGAAAGAGGAGGTGAAAAGAAAACTTCTTTGCCAGACAGAAAAGCAAAAGCTTCGGCAACCAAATGGGGATGAGACTTCACCATAAAATTCCATCCTTCCGTGTTTATGATGTCTTTTGCATGCTCACACACAAGCTCAATTGCTTGTGATTTCAAATTTACCGCCGAGTGAAGATCGGCCAGTATTAGAATATCAAGAACATTATCAACCGATATGCTCTTGTACAAGGTTTCCTCACACATGATTTTAAGCCTCTCCAAGTCATATTTGTCCGCTGCTGCGAGGAGGTCGAATGCTATTTTGTTGATGTCTTTTACTCTTCCTGAATAAATGAAACGCAACAGTTCACCTAAAGTTGCATGATCAACATCTAAGATAGTAACGTGATTCAACTGACCTTCTTCCATGCAATGGTCGAACATTGCTGCGAATACACGGCTCCTAGCAGCAAGGATTGCTTTGTGAGCTTTGAATTGCTTACCATTAGCAGATAGGGTGACATCTGAAAACCTGTGATCTGACAAAAGCTGCTCATAGTCGTCTTCCAACTTAGGTTCAGGGACTTTGAATTTGATTTCCTCGTGTTTTCCAAAAACACTGACAGGAGCAGTAACAATACTTACTTCACAAAATATTGTGAGCTTGTCATCCTTGAGAACTTGATTTTCTTTATCAAAAAATGTATCTCTCTTTATAAACTTTTTGAAACCCCAATCTTTTCCGTAAACAAATCTATATGCCCTTTGGCTTTCCGTTTCTTTCACGACTTTTCCAAAGCCGTTTACAATTGAAAACTTGAAACGGGCCATCACTTCCAGTTTCTTAGATGTAGCCAGAAAAAGATAAATTGAGATGTAGTTTTTGCTTTCTTCGTCTTGCCCTCTTGGATTAAGTCTTAAACACCATTTCTCTGTATCGTTACATTTGGAACTGAACAATGGAGATTTAATATGCTCTCCCGTTTTCTGATTACAGTAACTGAAGTTGGAAATAGTCCACAAGAAGTTAAACTTATCCAAGCTCACATTAGTCCAGCACCAGTTTTCAACTAGTATATCGGTAACTTCCTCAGGTATTATATCACTGGATACGGGTTGGTCTCCGAGATCATCCATTGCTGTATCCCGAAGAGTAAATGGATAGTTAGTGAGGATCTGCAAAAAAGTATTACCATTAATGTTATAAAAATTAATATTATATAAAATGCTTTGATGAAGACCTGTACAATTATTTTTAGAATGATGACTAGCCTAGCTGTGTGGGTGTTCTACGGACGGTTGACATTTTACCACAATTTTTTTATTGCATCAGACAGTTTTTTATTTTGCATTTATTGCAACATCCCACAGTTTGGTGTAGCACCCCATGAAATTATACGCAAAACTGTTCAACTATGGTTATCCGTTTCCACTAGACTTTGGTGAGAGAAGTAGGGATAAGTTCCAACCCCGACACAACCGCAAAAATCAGATAGGTTTTGATCATGTTTCCCTTTCAAACGTTTGTGATGTATTACGTACGTCAAATAGGATAGGGTGTAGGAGAGATGAGTAAGAGACTCCAAAAAACACTGAAACTCACTTGACGCTAGGTATAAAATTTATCCAACAGCAACTAATTGTTGAGATGACTGTACAAAATAACAAAAGCGGCAATGAAGGGAAGGGGGTCTAGTGGGCATATATGCATCCCACTTGCCACTCTAATTGACACTAATTTCCTTCTTTGAAAATGCCACTTGCGTGGACAATAAAATGCTATTGACTTAAAAATACAATATCTTTTTTTTAAGCTCAATACCTTCAGGCCAGCTGCCAGCGGTTTGCATGTGATGCACTATGAGCCCTGAGAGATGACTGTGTACCTCTCAATCTAATTTGAGGGGGAATTTTTGACTTCCTTGTGCAACCAACACACCTAAAACCTCATACAACCCTTGACCAGAGCCCACCCTGTCCATTCATTAAATTGGCCCTGAATATCGTTCCTAACAGTAACACAAGGTTACTTTTGAATCTTACATCTTATATAATGTGACTTAATTCTTCATTTCATTTATTTCCAACGGTAAACGCCATTTTTACAATAATAAATATATTTATGGTACAGACAAGTCAGTCTTATGAGTAAAGAATAATAAACAAGTAGATTGAAACTTTAATTTGAAAACAAAATGGATATAAGAAACAATAAATCACAATGTATAACAAGAATAGAGATTTAGAATAGAATTGAGTCAGTGTATAACAGAGATGATAACTGAAATAACAACCAACAATAAAAATGAAAAAACAACAATAATAATTAATAACAGTGAATATAAATATAAAACAGCAATTAACAGCATAAACAGATAATAAACAGCAAGAGATGTAGAATAACAATACCAATAACAGGTCATTTCTTTAACTTTTTGGTTTTTTTTTTTTTTTTTTTTTTGTGGCCCATTAGTGGCACTACAAAGGTAAATAAAGCCTTCACATAACGTCACTCCCTCCGACCCGTCTTCTGAAGGACGCAGTTGTACCAGAGAAGAAGTCGATGAGCGTAGCGATTTGGCTCCCCAGTCAATGCAATCCGGACAGGCCGCTGTGGTAGGCAAAAAGTGTCGGCTGGGAGCGACGCTGGAAGGAGGTTCTGGAGCGTGTCGCTCTAGGTACAGCAAGATCAATATTCGATAATAGATCAGGGCAGTCGATAAGGGAGTTGTTTAGATTGAATAGGAAGACTGCATCAACGATCACACGTCTAATATGTATAGTGGCTGTATCTGTAATTCTTACTTTGTTGATTTGACAAATTGCATATCCAAGAGAAATCCACCTATTTATTGGATTTAATGTGATGTACAAAATAAATAAATATAAACCTATCATGGAATGTAACAGCCAATTGGACACTCCATAAATATTTGTATTAATTACCTTTTTGTTTTGTGTTGCCTTAAAGTTCCTGATGTTTTTGATTCCTGATGCGCAAACCTTTCTTGAAACTGGGTTATATTACAAATTAAATATTTGTAGAAATATGGAGGTATTCTAACATAGGACATTACTTTTTATAGGACTTTCAAAGACCTTGCCACCCAAACATTCCTCTGAGCATCCACAATAGTTTGCCTCAAACCATTAAAAACTGGAAGTTAAATAATTTAGCACTGCCTTGAAGACATGGCTCAAAAGCAAACAATTTGTACCGGGTATACACAAAAGAAGCACCGGTAAACAACTTTGTTTAAAAATTACTGTGAAGTGTTACCGACTTATAAAGAGTAACATACACTGTTAGCATATGTTTTATTTACATTTTATTTCTAACATGTGTTCAAATTATTATTTTGTTTACTTATTGAATTGTTATGTTTACTTACAGATTGTGGTTTAATAAAAACTTACCTTCTATTTTCTTATACAAAATGTGAACTTTTATTACTAAAATTAGTGGAATCAACAATGGCGACGAGTAAAATGGTAAGTAGAAAAGAATTTGACTTATGTCTAAAGAAAAGGAAATTACTAGAACTACGCTTGATCAAACTCAAGGATGATTTACCAACATGTGAACATTCTCAAGATACATGCACTTACTACACAGATAAACTTTTAGCAATATGGGCTGAAATTGAGGTTACACAGTCAAATATTGAACTTCACACAAATTCAGTAGAAAGTGAATTAGAAATTCGATGGCAGTTAGAAGAAATATATAGAGAGATACGGACATTCCTTGAAGCAGAAAAGAAAAAGTACGATACACATACAGCAATTTCTGCTTCTGCAACATGTCAAAATGTATCTAATATTCCTTTCCAGCCGTATACACCAGAGGAAAGTTTTCAAAACTTCACTCGACGCTTTGAAAACTACACAAAATTACGGGGAAACTTAAGTCCAAGAGTCAAAGTGGATTTATTTTTACAGGCAATCACCCCACAAATACATGAACAGCTATACGATCTTTGCATACCAGATGACCCACACAACAAGCCATATGAGGAATTGATTCACATGTTAATGGCTCAACTAGAACCAAAACCCAGTATTTGGGCACGTCAGCACAAATTTACGACACGTACCCAATTGTGTAATGAATCTGTACAAGCTTACGCTAATGCTCTTAGAAAGCTCAGTGTAGAATGTCAGTTTACTTGTACAAGTTGTAATGAATCTGTATCTGAAATTCTACTTCGAATGCAGTTTGTCAGGGGATTAAAAGACTCTGATATACGTCTTCAACTTCTTCAAGATAAACTATTGCAACCGTTTAAAGAAGTAGTCGAAAAGGCTGCTACATTGGAACTAGCGAAAAGTGAGAGCAGAATAGTAAAGACAAATGAAAATCAAGAGGAAGTACACCAAGTATCAAGCAAGAACAAACAGCCAGATAGGAAACCTTGTAAATCTAACAATATACAACTCTCTGAGTATCAAACTCGTTTGGAGAAACTGAGAAACAAATGCTATAGATGTGGTGATGATTCACATAGAGCACATCAATGCAAGTTCAAAAATGCAGAATGTAACTCTTGTAAACGTTTTGGTCACTTAGCAAGAGTATGTCTAAGAAAACCAAACAAAGAAGTAAAACAATCAGATGAAACCGCAGAAAATACAAGCGATGATGACACTCATGAAATTTACCAACTTCATTCAAAATCAAATGACAAGTTTATGCTCGAGGTAAAAGTGGAAGGACGACTCATGACAATTGAGTTAGGTACAGGAGCGGCTCTCAGCATTGTATCCTATGATACATTTAAGCTTTTAAACTCTCCAAAAAGGATTTTCAAGACAAATGTTCAACTCAAGACATACACTGGGGAAATAATCAATCCAAGAGGAGTTGTTTTTGTAAATGTTCAGTATAAAGATCAAAGTTTTGTTGGAAAACTGTACATTGTTAACAAGTGTGTAGACTCTATATTCGGAAGAGAATGGATAAGAGAGATTCAACTTGATGCAGCTGACATACATTCATTAAATTCAAGTGAAAACGAAAACATCCAAGAACTAGATGATTTGATGATTCGATACGAAGACATTTTCAAAGAAGGCATTGGGAAAATACCAAAAGAAAAGGGTCATTTTAATGTAAAAGACGAAACCCAGCCAATTTACATCAAACCTAGACACATGCCATATGCATTAAAAGAAAAAGTAGAGAAGGAACTTGAAAGACTGGAGACTTTGGGTATAATCACACGTGTCGAATCATCCGATTGGGGCACACCCATTGTGCCGGTTGTCAAACCCAATGGTTCAGTCAGAATATGTGCTGACTACAAGGTGACTTTGAACAAAGTTATTAAAGACGAACATTACCCTATACCTCGGATTGATGATATCATGTCAAAGATGCATTGTGGAAAGATATTTTGTACTCTTGATATCAGTAACGCATACTTGCACATGGAGATGGACGAAGACAGTGCCATCATGCAAACAATCAGTACTCACAAAGGGCTGTTTAAAGTGAACAGATTAATGTTTGGAGTAAAAGTGGCACCCTTGTTATGGCAAAGATTCATGGACAAAACATTACATAACTTAGAAGGCGTACAATGTTTCTTTGACGACGTAATTGTCCAAGGATCTAACAGGGAACAGCTTCTTCGTCGACTGGAACAGGTGTTTGAACGATTGAAGTTAAATGATTTGAGGTTAAATAGAGAGAAGTGTAAGTTTTTCCAGAACAAAATTGAGTACTTAGGTCATGTGATCGATAGCAAAGGACTACACAAGTCAGATGCTAAAATACAGAGCATTTTAAAATGTAAAAGACCAGATAACGTAACTGAACTCCGAACTTTCCTAGGCCTTGCGAATTATTACAACAAATTCATAAAGAATTTGGCTACACTGCTACATCCTTTGAATCGGCTGCTACGAAAAGGAAACACTTTTACATGGAGCTCTGCTTGTGAACAGAGTTTTCTGAAGATTAAAGAAATTATTACAAGTGATGACGTGTTGGTACACTTTGATCCTAGCTTGCCACTGGTCTTAGCTACTGATGCTTCGCCGGTAGGTGTAGGAGCCGTTCTTTCGCACCGCTATAGGGATGAAACAGACAGGCCAATTGCCTTCGCCTCTCGATCTTTATCAAAATCAGAACAAAAATACTCTCAGATCGATAAGGAAGCCTTGGGAATATATTGGGGCCTGAAAAAGTTTTTCCCGTTTTGTTATGGCCGCAAATTTACTTTGATCACTGATCACAAACCGCTGGTGTCAATTTTTAATCCAGCAAAGACCTTACCAACAATCTCGGCAACACGGATATTCAACTATGCTCACTTTCTCTCCGGGTTCGACTATGACATAGAGTACAGGCAAACTGCTCATCATTGCAATGCAGATTATCTCTCTCGATTCCCTATCGAAGTTGTACAAGAACATTCTGTAGATGACCTCTCGAAGTACCAAATAAATCAACTGGAAACACTCAATATCAACAGTACCGTGGTGGCTAAGGAAACTCTCAACGATGCTGTTTTGGGTCCAGTCCTACAGGCCTTGAAATCAGGACAATCTGTTGAACAATACGGATTTCACGATAACGAGCTGTCCATTCAAGATGATTGTGTACTGAAGGGCTGGAGAGTCATGATACCTCAATCTCTCAGACCTCATGTGCTTCGAGAACTACATGTAGCTCATTTAGGAGGAATAAAAATGAAGGCTTTAGCTCGCAGTTTTTGCTGGTGGAAAAGTATAGACAAGGATATTGAAGATATGGTAACTGAATGTCGACAATGCATTGAAAAATGCAACAACCCGAGGAAAACTATCCATCCATGGGAACAACCTTCTAATCCATGGGAGAGGGTGCACATTGATTTCTTAGGACCAACAGATGGCCAACGGTACCTGATATTAGTGGATGCCTTTAGTAAGTGGGTGGATGTGATACAGACGAAAACAACTACAAGTACATGGACAGTCCAAGAATTACGGAAAATCTTCTCAACTTTTGGGTTTCCTCACATCCTAGTTTCAGATAATGGAAGACAGTTTGTTTCTCAAGAGTTCAAAAACTTCATGAATGAATGTGGGATTATTCACAGAACAACGGCACCATACCATCCAAACTCAAATGGCCAGGCTGAAAGGTACGTGCAGACTGTCAAGAAGGCGTTAAAATCCATGGAGGGAGAAAAGGGTACACTGCAAAATAAAATCCAAAGACTTCTAATGCAACTCAGGCAATCCCCGAATTCAACAGGTACATCAGCATATCACCTAATGTTTGGAAGGAGTGTACGAACAAACCTAGCAATAATTGTTCCAACATTAGAACCGAACAAATATCAGAAGAAGGGAGTCCAAGTCGGTATAAAAAGGAATTTCAAAGTTGGAGATAAAGTGCAAGCGCGGGAATATGTCAATGGTTCGTCCAAGTGGTATTCGGGCTATATAACTCAAAAGCAAGGACATGTAATGTACGTAGTTCAGCTGGAAGATGGACGAATAATAAGAAGACATGTTGACCAGCTGATTCTTCGTAAAGTGCCGCAGCACAGTAAATAGAGGAGGAGGTGTTAGCATATGTTTTATTTACATTTTATTTCTAACATGTGTTCAAATTATTATTTTGTTTACTTATTGAATTGTTATGTTTACTTACAGATTGTGGTTTAATAAAAACTTACCTTCTATTTTCTTATACAAAATGTGAACTTTTATTACTAAAATTAGTGGAATCAACATACACCATTAGAAAGATAAAAACCTCAAATTTTTTCTATATACTACAGTAAGTGTTCAATATGTCCACCTTGTGAGCTTAGCAGACATCTATTCTAAAATCAAATTCTGACCAAACGTTTTGAAGAGTGGCCTCATCAACACTTTGTACTGCAGCAGTAATGCGATGCCTGAGCTCCAAGAGATTCAACGGCAAAGGAGGTACAACAACTCTGTCTTTGACATAACCCCACAAGCAAAGCATACGCACGTTAAAGACGAAGCTCCATACCCACCCTCCGGGACCGTTGCACGGATTAACTCAACCTGATCATCAGACATTGCTGGTCTCCCGGAGCTCTTTCCTTTTTCTATGGCCATAACTTCCAATGTGACTTTCTATTTGGAGGGTCCCTATGATAACGCGTACATGAAAACTATGTTAAACAGTGGTAGCAGATAGAGTTCTTTCAAACTCTAGCACACAAGAAGACCAAATAAATAAATAACAATTTTACCAAATTATTGGCATTGTTAACAGTCAGCTGTGTGGGCAAAACTTGAGGTGTTTAATAACCCAGTGATACCAACCACACCGATGTGGGACACGTAGAGTGTGTTAAATTGATGTACAAAGTTGTTTACTTCTTTTATATACACCCAGTATTATAACCAGAGTCACCCAAAATTCTCCCCCATTATATTGTTGTCCCCTTGTTGCTCATGCTCAGAGAATGATAAATTATTGCAATCGTGGCAACATACGCCATCATCTCTCATGATCACGACAACAATGGTGATGATTTTTACAATCGCACCGACTCCCGTGAGGAGAGAAACATCTTGATTTTGTTCAGTGATTCTGATCTTTTACTTTACCCGGAAAATCAAATATAGGACGATCTGTGATTATTGGGGATTATTCAAAAACAAAATTAGCCAAGACTTTAAATATTTTTTGTGTTTTTACTGAAGCGACCCCCCCCCCCCCTTGAGGTGCAGTGCCCTAGGTAGCCCTAGGTACCTTTCTCACGTACCTAAGGTCCGTTCAAGATTATAACCTAGATAAATATTTGAAGAGCAAAACATTTAAAGTAAAGTATTTAAAGTATTATTATCTTGTTAATTGTCGATACCGGGCCATATGTAATAATGTAATACAATAAGCCTTGTAAAAAAATTTTAAGTCTTTTTGTTTTGATTCTTTCATAAATGCATTCATTCCAATAGGTTGGTATTACGTCATGTCAGTTATTTCAACTGGTGTGTCCCGGCATCAATTTGGGCGGAACCCAGTTGAATATAAAATAAGATATTCATCAAGGTTTTTGAGGCCCAAAAACTTGGAAATTTTCTCTGCCCGAACAGGCAGGTAGGGTCGGTATGCAAATACAGTAGCACCTGACATATTTGAATCTTCAGTATATTCACAACTAAACAGTTATTTTTTTCTTTAAACTAGGGTACCGGTATATAAAATCACTTGAATATTACGGCTATTATTGTTCATGATTCAAGGTGGATTTTAAATAACAATAACAATAACAATAATAATATTGCAATTGTAGACGTTAACTACATAGTTTGCGTGATTGTTGAAGATGAACTGTTCCTAAACGATTACCAGTCAAGAGTGCTGTTATTTTGTTGGGTCATTAAAAAATCCAGGATGATGATGGGTTCCATGATAAGATAATTGGGAACCGCTAATTTATTTCAACCATGTGTAAAGTAACACTACAAACTTAACCTAACTTGAAACTGCACAAATGTTATTAGCCTAAACATCCACTGATCCACTCCCAATACCAAAGTTGACCGCTCCATAAGTTAAACACTATATCCTGACTAGCTAAAAACTTCCTTGTCAATATGTAAAGGCTGGGTGAAGAGGGCCGTTTTTATAAATGGGCCCGATGGGCCTGGGCCAAGGGATTCAAGAGGTTTTAAGATTTATTCAGCATTGCCTCCAGGATTGATTTAAGACAATATAAAATAGGTTACGTACCTTTACGTCGTCAATCCTAGGTTAGTCTTTTTAGCAGCGACTAGTTTCGAAACTGACGTTTCATTTCTATTTTATGTTTGACAAAGCTTGAAAATGAAACGTCAGTTTCGAAACTAGTCGCTGCTAAAAAGACTAACCTAGGATTGACGACGTAAAGGTACGTAACCTATTTTATAAGGTTTTAAGATTGTTGAGGGCGCAAGGAGAAAAACATTACCCTCAAGGTAGGTGGAGAGGGGCGCAATCATCTCCGAGGGCCATAGCGCATCACATGCAAACCACTGGGCTATGGGTGGAATCAACAACGCAACTGTTTTTATTGGCCTAACACTCTAAACAAAAACAAGCAAATTTAAGTACTGCGAGAGATGACGCGTTATTTTCTGTAAATGTGATCACTAAGCCTAAGTTACAAATTAGAAAGTTTTTATTTTAAGTACTGTAAAGTAATGATAAGGCCCTAGAGTAACTAAGTAAATTGTTTTAATTACGAAACCTGTAGTAAATAAATATTTCAATGAAGTAAGTCAACCATTCAAACTGTATATAAAATTGTCTACATGTACCACACAATCTGACCTAATTCAACTGGGGACATGAAACGAAATGTGAACGCTAAGTTACGCCTATAATACCCAAATGAATTTAATAATCAGTACCGTAAATTAGATGCTGTGGATATTAATAAGTTATTTTTTAGTTTAAAATAGACCAAGTAGATCCAGGCAGGCACACATAGTAAATAACTTAGTCAGGCGAAAGGGCAGAAGTGGTTTAAAGTGGTTGGGGGTGTAAGGATGAGAAAAATTCCTCTGCAAAGAAAGGGGAAGAGGGCACAATTAAATCCCCAGTCCATACCGTAGCACGTCACATGAAAACTGCAGCCCTGAGCCTAGGCTAATAACTTACTAGGCCCACTCTATTCTGGTACCCACCTGACTGTTCGGACGGTGAACAATTATTGGGCCTACTCGATTTTTATTCCCGGATCAAAAACAATGCTGCATAAATTACTTATTTAACTTAGGTTAACTTATTTAAAACAACCATGCAAAGTTTTATAGGAAATGTACATTGCAAGTTACACCAAATTAGGCAATTTCATCATTTTAATAGCAAATCTAGATAACTTAGCAGATTGCTGATTTTTGACACTTTGTTATAATTCATTAGGCCCTACCGGTATTCTGAAAGATAAAGTAGGCTAATTTAAGTTATTTGGTGCAACTTAACTTACATCAAGCAGAAAAAAGTGGTGGGAGAACTTCCCCGCCTAACAAATTTTGTAAATGAAGTACAGTTTTTATAGGCCTACTTAAGTTAAGTTATATAGTAAACTTAGGCTAACTTAAGTTACTAGATTTGCTTGATTTTCATAAGGTGTGGGCTGCAAGTTAGCTTGCATCAGTGAAGTGAATGTAGGCCTAAGTATTAAACCCTCATAATCAGTGGTGTAGTCGTAGATTTTCCTTTGCGGGAACGCTCGTAACAAAATGTCGTAGTAATACAGCCTAAGTTACGAGTCGCTTTTTTGCCTGTCAATTAAGTTAACTTATAAAGGCTAGCCTAGGTTCTTTGGAAAAATTATCCGCTTGAGATTGAGACAGAACTATGATATCTAAGCTTAGTTCCTTCGTTTGATACAATGAATAGGATGGTAACTTATGCCTATTATAGAAGTTGTTTGGTTTTTAGTTAGGTTAAGTTTGTTTATTGACCGAATCGATACCATAAGCCCGATAAGAACATATCGATAGGTACCATGATATGTTCAAGAATGAAGTCAGATTATTAAAGTTTTACCGAGAATGGTATGGATAAAAAAATAATAGTACTAAAGTATTACACTTAGGATACATAACTTACTTTTTTCCTCGGCCGGATAATTCAATTGTAGTAGGCCTAAGCCTATGTAGTTTCTTGGCTTTGTCTTGAATAAGTTACCAAGCACACTATTAATAGTAAGAGTTAGTTTTCTTCCACCTTGATTGCAATTTTGAGAAGATTAGTATCATAAAAAATAAAACAGGGAAATGTAGTATAAAACAACAGTAAAATACGCTTACTGTAATGTCTTCAATTAATTGGGTTTTGAGGTTGAGGTGGTAAATTTTTATCTGCTTTATGGAACCGGAAGCATGTAAACAAACAAACATGTAAAATACCTTACGCTCAACCAAGTTTAGGAAAGCCGAAGGAGAGCAATTAATCGAAACGACTTCGAGTCTGAACCATTGATTATGAAACCTTGCTTGTGCTTGATTTATTATGGTATTCAAATAAAGAAAATTAATTTACCTGCGAAAGTTAGTATTTTGTGTTCGTGATTAGTATTTTTACGTTACAAAATTATTATAAGTATTATTTGATGTTTGGGGGGTTCTTAATCAAAAAATTAAATTACAAATTTATTATTATTTTTTGATGTTTTTACTTAATTATTGTATTTGATAGACGAAGAACTAATAAAAAATAATGTAACACAGTGATATAATTTGTTATACATTTTATTTGGAAAACTTGCTATACAATAATAGTATGAAAAAAATGTGTAAAAAAATTGAGTCGCCACACGGCCACCTTTAACTCCGGAGTTAAACTCCGGTTATAGGTGGCCGTGGCCACCATTAAGATAACACCACTTTGGTGTTTCGGCACGGCCACCTCTAACTACAGGCCGCGGCCTGGTAGAATTGGCAACGTCGCAAGTGGTGTCGTTTAGCGACAGACGTCCCATAAGATAACATGGCAGACAGGTGACACCAGTTCATTAATTCGCACTTTATTGATTTGAATTTAAATTTATGATCATAAATTTATTAAAATATTGAAAATAAAACATACAGAATTGAAAACCAAAAAAATATGAATTAAAAATCTATATCTATAAATTTTAAGTGGAGTCAATCAGAGTCAATATTGTCATTGTCCAGTAACCAATCTTTCGTAAATACACAAATACCATTAGCTGCTTACAAACAAAACAGCTGTTACAACACCACTTGCAACGTTGCCAATTCGAAGGCCGCGGCCTGGAGTTAAAAGGTGGTCGTGACCCCTCGCACTACGTAATGCTGAAAAGTAGATCAGCACAGCTTCGTGGTTAAAAAATGTGGATACTAGACCCTACTTTTTGAGAACTAGAAGAAGTAAAAGTAAAGTAAACAAAGCAAAAACTACAACATAACCTACTTCACAACTTGTGTTCACTAACTAACTGTTCAATTCAATTCCAAAATATTAGAAAATCCGCATCTAAAGAAATAACTTACGCTACTGCTCTAGGGACATTTATATTTTAGCGATGGTCAAAACAGTTTGGAATAGTTAGTTAGGAAAGTAAAATATCAATATCAAACAAATCTTGTTGGATTTTTGAAACTGCATTCGCATTCCTAATGAATACTTCTTGGAGTTATAAACTTCGAGTAAGCACCAAGGTAAGATATTAGGTTTTCTTTGGTATAAGTTACTATAATTGAAAAAAAGGGGTAACACTAAGAAATGCCCAAATGCCAGAAATTCTCTAAATCTCAGCAACTTAGAAATTCAAAACTACTGGGTCTGACACATGCCCTCTCTTGACAACATCCACAATCTGACTAAGAAGCTTCCATATGAGGTTTAAGTGATGTTAGTTACGTATTATGTGTTAAAAAGAAGTAGTGGATAAGTTAGGCAGCCTAGAAGGGCCAGAAACTGCTAAGACAGTAACTTAACTACTGCACTAGCATATCTTAGGTTACACATGTCTTACGTTATGGATTGATCTCTTAAGAAGGAATTTCAATGTGAAATCATAATAAAATACTGATCATCCAAATAAGGACTTGGCTTAAAGCTAATGACACTATCAAACCTTGTCCCTATCGACAGCTAAGTTACAGGGAAGCTTCTAGGCCTAAATCACTAATGCTTTTATTGGTTAACCCTCTGAATCTATGTAGGCTAACTTAAGTAGATGCCACGAACCGAGAACGACAATCAAGGGACTGATTTTTAAAGCTAAAATGCAGCAAAAGAAGCATCATACTATATTGTACAACTACTCGCCTTCAAAGATCTCGCAACAGCATTGCTTAGTCTGATATGACTGTAAAAGAATGATGACTGTTTTTTATTTGTGTGTTTTTCAGATTTTGGACTCAGTGACATCTCCTAAAAATGTAACTCCTACTGCTGTGTCTAAGATTCTTCTTTACGGCTCGAATCAGCTAAATGGACAAATTCATCTCAGACTACCGTTTAAATCATATAGGAAACTGTTTCCTGACTCCTCCAAAGATGACTTTCATAACCTCTTAAAAGTTACAAACGATAATTACATCACTGGAGCTGAACCGAGTAATAATTCCAACGAAGATAATATCATATTTAATTTGCACCAAAATACATTTTTGGAAGATGTTTTACTAAATAAATCCATTGACACTTCAAAAATAGGTTTACCACAAGAAAAAATAGTTATAGATTACAGGTAGGCCTACGAAGTTTTATATTTTACCTTAGAACAAATATTCTTAGAGATAAATAGCTTTTTAAGGTTGACTAGGCCTATGTTATATGATATTGCACTTTGCACTTTAACTGAATCAAATCGAGCTATCAACAGTCTTTGGTTTGTTTAAGAACCTTAATAATTTGACCCTTTATAATGTGGACTATCCAGTAGTCCTGCTTAATCCCCCTCAAAAGAAAGTGAATAGTGTTTCTTATGAATGGCTATACATCTATAAAATACAGGGTGTTTTTAAAAGAATGCCGGGATTTCAATCGGTCGTTGCTCGGGGACTATTCAAGATAATTAAACGATTTAAACGTCAAATTGATGGGAAAAGAATAAAGTTTTTTCTAATTCTTTCATACAATTCGGAATGATTTAATAAAATTTAGATTTTTACCAATATTATATGAGCGTACAACTGGCAACAACCTTACACTTAAGGCGATTGGGGGGTTTATCTGATGTCTTAACTGAATCTTTCTCGGCACAAAAACTCTATCTTTTATAGATAACATCTTAAAGTGACCAATTTAGGTTTGTTAAACTGAAGACTTTGTCAGGCAATCGATTTTTTCGGGCTTCTAATGCAGAATTGTCGGATTTCATCGACTATGTCATCGCTGGTTTTAGCCGGCCAGGTGAATGTCGTTTCAAAACACTTTGGTGCCACAAAACTCATTAAACCAGGTTCAAGTTTCTTTATCATCAAATAGATTTAAATTTAGTTTTATTTAGCAATAGATACAAACTCTGCGAACTACAGATTACAATCTAGAAGCCTTCTGTTGCGCTGTAAACGTCATACTGGCGACTGGCGTCAGGCGTATGAGTCACAATAGCGGCCTATCACCCCGCACCTGTTTTACGCATGCCAAGGTCAAAGTTTCCTCCCTTACTACATGGGAAACAAAACTTAGTTACTTTAGCTTCAATTTGACGTATAAAACGTTTAGTTACCTTGAATAGTAAATCCAAGCAATTAGGCCTACCATTTAAAATCCCGGCATTCTTTTAAAAACACCCTGTTTTATATAGGCCTATGTCATTTTTAATATTGATTTTCCATAACTTAGGCCTATTAGTACTGGTTGGCACTAGTTAACAGTTTAAATAAAACGCTATCATACTCTAAACGTACTTCATGTGTAACTAAATTAATAGTCATCATGGACTTTATCGTGGCTGGATGTTGCCTTTTATAGGGTGTGTGATGCTATTGGTATCGTAGCTAAGCACTTCCAACCATTTCTAATACTGTGCACTTCAACACCTCCGTCAAATATTAGTGGAACATTATGTAAAGGGGTGACTCATTTACTCATTTGTAAGAGCTTAAGTTAAAAGAGCATTTTCAGGAGTAAACAAAGATTTCTACAGAAAAACAAACTTTGTTCGGCCTGTCCTACAACAGTACCAGCAGGTTCAGGTTCACTACCAGGCGTCGAACTCCAGACATGTACCTGGTAGTGAATGTGTTAAGCCCAATATCAAATGTTATCTACTTCCAGAATACATTATTTTACTGATTCATACACTCAAGTTGCATATTATTATTATCTTTTACGTCTTATCTGTGTTATGTTTTCGGATCTTTCAGCTCACCAAATATTGCCAAACCATTTCACATCGGTCATTTACGCTCCACAATCATCGGCAATTTCCTGGCCAATCTGTACGAACACCTCGGATGCAAAGTGACTCGGATCAACTACCTTGGGGATTGGGGAACACAGTTCGGTGTATTACAAGTAGGTCTGCAACAGCTCAACATAAGCAATGCAGACCTGAAAAAGGATCCGATAAAACAACTCTACGAGGCTTACGTGACTGGGAGTCGTCAATTAGAGTCTGACAACACAGCAGGACCTTTTGCCAGAAAAGTTTTTCACCAGCTGGAGTTTCAGCAAGATTCTGTCATGATGGACCGATGGAAAATGATCAAAACAGCTACTGTTGAGGATTTGTCAAAGACGTACAGAAGACTCGGAGTGAAGTTTGACGAGTATCATTGGGAGTCTATGTACAACGCGAAGGCCTTCACTCCGATAAGAGAAGTTATGGAAGCCAACTCGCTGTTGGAAGAGGATGAAGATGGGAAGAAAGTAAGCCAAACTTTCACTTTTGTGCCAAAGTCTATTATGTTTGTAGTAAAATTAATCTGCACAAAGAGATATATCCATCATAAATAGTGATAAAAAAATCACTCTAGTTTGGGACAACTATAATGACAACATTATTTAAGCTTCTATTATCTTACTACCTAATACACCTTCTTATAATGGACTCTCACAGGACGGATCAGATAACCTAAAAGATAAGTTAAAATGGGCAAACATGTATCAATCTGTATCATAGATCATGGAACATATGTAAATTTTTTTCATTTTTCCATGTAGTTCATAAAAAAAAAGAACCTGCATGGACCGGACACGCTTCTATTTTATTACTGTGATTAACATATAGGAATTGAAGTCTCTAGATTCAGATTAATAGAAAAGTTAATATAATTCAACCATTTTTTAAATTGAAATGGATAAACTAACCTCCATTTTCACTCGGGCAGCAGCTGATCCAGCGTCGGATAAGAGAATGTAATGTGTTCTGAAATAATAATTAGTAAATTTAAGTCATTTTGATGTAAGGTACAAATGTGCATTGATGGTTGAAAATAAAATTTCTAGTTTTAATGTAACACATCTTTACTTTATTCAAATAGTTTGATTGTCGTCCTAGTCAAACTCAACTGTTTAAAAAAGCATGGTAGCCAAGCGGTTATGATGCTGCCTTGACAATCAAAAGGTTAAAATAAGGTGAAGGTTATTACCTCGTCTGCAGTTCCAAAATTGTTGTTTTTTCTTGTAGTTTTCGTTATCTTGTAGTTACATGTTTCGGCAGGACGCCATTGTTAAACTATCGTAGTACAGGAATATCAAAATCCACTTATTGTAACTTCGTCAGGTAGTGTCATCGTGTGTGTGAACTAAATGTCTACCTGATGAAGCTACAATAAGTGGATTTTGATGTTCCTGTACTACAATAGTTTGACAATGGCGTTCTGCCGAAACATGTAAACTACAAAATACAAACTACAACTTTGGAACTGCAGACGAGGTAATAACCTTCACATTATTTTAGTCTAAATAGCAGTTTCAGGGCTACAACAATGGATTTTAATCAAAAAGGTCACAAATTCCATCATGATAAAGACAGTAGTTTTTTTTCATTACCGAGCCTATGTACCCTTGGTAATTTGGTTCTCAAAACATGATTCTGGTAAAAAAAACAGCAAATCTTAGTTACAAAGCGATAGTCTCATTTATTCAAAACTCATCCTTTGCTCATAAATGTGTACCCAAGTGTGTTGATACTATATAAATCCAACTAGAGTCTATAATTTCTGTCAAATTTGAAAATACAGTAACAAGATTGCTTCAATAAAGTACATCTTCAAACATGTAACATAAGGATGACTCTTTGGTGAATATGACCGAGCATTAGACTGACTGAACGCAGGGTTGTGCAGGTGATGGAGTTGGCTGACGGAAGGAAAGTTCCGCTGGTGAAGAGTGATGGAACTACGTTGTATCTCACCAGAGACGTGACCGCAGCACTGGACCGATGGGTGACATTTGGCTTTGACAAGATGTTGTACGTAGTTGACAACAGCCAGAACCAACACTTCTCAGCACTCAAGCAGGTAAACAGTCACGCAACAAACATCGTGACTGTGTCTGGGTGGGTGTTGCTGGCATATCTATGGGCCGCCTAAAACCCAAAATCAAAACTGCTATAATTTTTTCCCATTAATATTGGCCACAATATAAAATTTTGAATTTGTCTCATATTTCAAATATCATCCAGTAAAATATCAAATACCAGGCTTTTAATTTATTTTTTATGCTCAAATTGTTTTGGTCATATTCAAGTTATTTCATCAGGGTCGGGAGGTCAATTTCTTTCAGCTTTGTTGCCTCTTAAACATTATTTATTATTTGAATTTTTTTTGTTAACCTCGACCAGGCAATTAAAAAAATGTTGCGGTCAGGTTTTCACGTTCAAGTTTTGGGTTTAGACTTTTTTATTTTAATTTTATTTTTTATAGTCTTCACTATCACATCACTGCTTTTTTCATCTAGTTTTGTGATTGTGGGATAAGAATAAAGTTGTGCTGTAAGCGAGTTTTGAGTTTAATATCTGAGTTACCTCTCCGAAAGTAACTGGGGGTAAGCTCTTATACAATGCATTATTGCAATAGTTTTTTGGTTGGTTAATTTCATTGATGTGTAGGTCATACCACTAAATATCTGCGAATGATCTAATAAACTATGGTGTAATTCTTTGTTGTGCTTAAAAATTTGTAAAGAAATTCTAGGATTGTCACTATAGGTTCTAACTTTAATCTATGTAAATTCTTAACTTGTAAAACCCTTTCTTAGGTTTTAAACAAGCTAGAATATGACTGGGCAGATAATGTTGAACATGTCAAGTTTGGCAGGGTCAAGGGTATGAGCTCACGCAAAGGTCAAGTTATCTTCCTTGAGGATATCCTGGATGAGGCCAAACTGAGGATGGTAGAGAAACAACGGCAATCTCCAAGTAAGTGAAGCTTATGTTGAATAGTGTAGGCCTACATGGATAGGAATGGGGTGTCTCCATCTCTATTGATAATGATAATGGTTTTTTTGTATTAAAAAAACATCACAATTAGATTAAGGATGTTACATAGAGCACAAGGGCCTAGTTTAAGATTTTTTGTGAGGATAGCAGGAGCAGGCTTACCTGAATGAGAAAGAGTCCTAACTGGCACAGGATACAGAAAACTTTACTTGGTCAGACTGGCCAAATGCTGTCAGTGACAGTGAAATATTCTATAAGTATATAGGATGGAGGGGACACAGCTAACTCACATGTTGAAAGGTCGCAGATGAGTCAAAGAACCATAAAAATGCTGTCAGTGAAAGTGAAATATTCCAATGTTTTGTGTATATAATGTAAAGTTTTGTGTATACTGTACCAGTTTAGATTCGTTCCCATTCAGGTAGGCCTGCTATACTCACAAAAAACACTATTAGATTAGGTAAATTGCTATTAAAATCATAACACATCTCAGCAAGTTTTAAGATGAGCCATGTACCTAATTATTTTCATCCAAAATATCATGGATTTTATTAATTTGCTGCAAGTTTATAGTAGGCATTGTATTTTCTTCACAGTAAATGAGTGTTTCAATTATATGGACTTTTTACTTCTATGATTATCCAACCAGGGATTGGTCTTGTGCCCAAAATATATCATGAGTACAATATGAATGGGTAATACAGTACAGACCATTAAAGGGAATACATTTTAACCTACACAATTTTACTGCTTTGCTGAAAATTACTTTTTGATAACAAAGTAATAACCAAACAATAGTTAATTGTGTAACTAGTGGTGAAAGCTGCACACGAGAGCAAGGTTTACGCACGAGCCACAGGCGAGTGCAGAATGATTTCGAGTGCAGCAAAGGCCTTTTTCACTTGTGTTACACATTATATTTTTCCTACAGTCACTATAAAGCATATAAATAATTAGTCTTTCAAACACTATACAACACGTTTTTAGGTTCAGCTGGCAACACAAATGGTGCCCTTGGGAAAGTAGTACCCGCGGTCCGTATCACTCCGCTATTTTTCCTCGGCAAGATATGTGCTCCGCGTTTTGAGAATATAGTTCTGTATGTTTTTGTAATTTGAAGTGGTTTCTGTGCCTAAAAAATGCTTTAAAGATATTTTCTTGTTTATTAAGACCGTAGGAATGTTTTAAAAACGTTAAAAAGAAAAGTCCAGAAAGTTCAGAAATACCGAAACTATAAACACGAAATGACAGGTTAAATCGTAGTTATAATAGTCAATCAGCTGCTCATAGTATTATTATCTTCAAGTGTTGCCAACCTATTTCCAAGCGTACACGGATTACGTGCATAATAGAACCACGCTGTTTTGTGTTGTTTCGTTGGAATCCTGATGTGCGGCAAAGTATAAACCGTACGACAAAGTATAAACCGTACGGCAAAGTATAAATATGCAGCAATTAGCAGCTTTCTGTACTATAAACAGTACAAGGAAGCCAACTTTGTCGGGTGACTGTAGGAAAATTGAATTTTTTGTGGCACTTGAGTTTTCAATTATTTATCGCTGATAAACATTTATTTTTCATCATTAGAGTCTTTCAATGCTCAAGTTCTGTTACAGCTACCAAAAACTCCTCTGAAGAAGTGTCTGACGTTCTCGGAGTGTCTGCAATCATTGTAAACGATTTGAAGCAGCGGAGGATGAAGGACTACAGTTTTGATTGGGATTCAGCGCTACAAGTGAGTTTTGAATGGCCATCTTGTAACAATACGTTACTGTTTTTTATTTACATAATATGGTACAACACTTTAACGTCGGTGATGCTGTTTGGACGATTGACCCCTGGCCTAGTCTCTACCTGCCAATGCTTATGTTGTTAATATATCCGTCAGTTTATTGTTTACTCTGGACATCTAGAAATAATACGAACATTGTTATCATTTTCCAACTTTAAGTTTAATTTAAGTTTAGTTTAGAAATTGTAAATGATAAGTAAACATTTTGTCATCCGAGATACACAGCTTTGACTGTTACTAAAAGAAAAAGAGATGCAATATAAACATTTTAATTTACTGAATACGTTCAGTTCTAGTACATTTGTGTGACTTTTATTTTAGTGCATGGATAGGACTTTAATAGTCCTAGGAAATATAACTTTTATTTTAATTTGAGATAAAGAGTTACACGTGGTATAAGAGTCTTAACATTTTGAAAGTTTATGTTCAACATACTTCTGCGTTGATTTCCCATTTTCATACATAATTTTTTACAAAAGTGTGACTTTTATTTCCAACGTCTTTTTTTACTGAATGTGTCTAATTTGAATGATATTGAATGAATGGATTTTTCTGGTTGGTTCAAGTTCTACTGTACAAGTCATGTGTCATGTAACAGATATTATTTATGTTTTTATCCAAACAAATCAATTCACGACCAAGATAATTTTTACTATTTCCAGATGGACGGAGACTCAGGAGTGAAGCTGCAGTATTCTCACTGTAGACTTTGCAGTTTAGAGCTGAACTGTGGTGTGAGCCTACCAGACCGATGTGACTCTTCTGTGCTTAGTGAACCACAAGTTCAGGAGCTGGTCCTAGAAATAGCAAGGTTCGGATAGTATAATTAATTCCCTATCGTCAATGTGTAGCAGGTTCGACTCTAAAGTGTATCCTGTCATATGAAAAGCGAGCTAGTCTAGTGGTCCTGAGATCCTGGGTTCCGCGAATCATCAATGGATTTTTAAGTGATAATGCCGCAACCCTCTTGGCCTAGCATGAAGTATTGTGAAACCCCATCCTGTGTTATTATTTTGAACAATTAACTTACACAATGACTTTTATTATTTTCCAAGTTAACCAAACTTTTGGCTTATAACCTTACCGCAGCTAGAGGGAAAAGCAAAAATTCATCCTGAGATAAAATGGGGTTACATGGGGTTTAGAGTCTTACATTTTGAAAGTTTGAGTTAAACATACTTCTGGGTTGATTTCCCATATTCAGAATTGCCACCAATTGTTGGGTGTGTTGCTAAGTAGACACTCTCCTTGAGGTAACATATTTGATCCCCAGCATTCCTTAAAAAAAGATTTGGAACGCTTTCCCTGAAAAGCATTTGCGAATTGGTTTCTTTACCATGGTCAATGCTGAATAAAGGGCATTCAATCTCCTATAGCTAAGTCCCTAGGTGATTATCTTTTAAACTAACCCTATTCTAAACTGCCGCTACAAACGTGAAAAAGGTAGAGGTGTAAACAGGTGGCGCTCACAATAACTACCCTCGTTAATGGTGTAAGCTTTAAGTGACCTAACGTATTTCAGATCGTTTGTACACGCTAGGTGGTGCCGACTTAAGTTGGCGTGCGCAGTGAACGTGTTAAAGTGCTACTGAGGTAGACAAAAAAGTACTAATATCTACACAACCTATTTACTGTTGGGGAAAAAAGTTTAGACACTCGAGTTTGGAGCTCTACAGAAAAGTAACCAAACTAGCTTAGAAAAACACGTTGTATAAATAAATTTTCGTTGTTTTATTCTACGTATTCCTGTGAAAACAAAAAATTTTTAGCTCGTTTAGGAACTTTTTAATGACAGTCGGAAGGTAAAAACTCCCTGTTTTTAGAGAATCAAAAACCAATTTGAAATATTGATACTGCTCAACCAAATTGTGAAGCATGCTATTTATATAAATTAACAAAAAACTGGATGATCTCGCACCTGCAAGAGGTGCAGACGCCATCGCCCGCTCAGGAATCCAGTGTTGCCACGATGGACTTTGACCGAGCGTAAGGTGATTCACGCAGTGTGTGTCACTGACTCACAGGAAATATCATGTTTTGCATTCTTCCAAAGGGTCCAAAGTATTACCACCCCAAATATGTCATCAGTAGTCTGTCTTCAATTTTAACTAGTGTCACATCGCTAAAATGGGTGTTAAATCTAAATTTTCAAATTCCGAATATGAAATAATTGTCAGTGTTATATGTTTTTTTTAGAAGTGAGGGAGTGCCGTTGGAGGTCCAAAGCCCTCTTTAGAAAAGGGGATGGGAAATGGTTAATAATTAATAATAACTGCTGTTCAGTTTTGACTCAACAGTTCGCAGCCTATTGCTGCCCAGTGTCTAGGTGTTCAATTTGGCAACACTGTATGGGGTATGTGCCCAGTCAGAGCCGGCATCGGTCTGGAAGTGCCGTATTGGGCCTCTGCACTATCCGAATTAAATGTTAACTTATATATAAATAATATGCGTAACAATGTGGTTGAGCAGTATCAATATTTCAAATACAAAACCAACCACCTTCAAAACAAGCTTTTCAATTTTTTTCTAGCGTTTGCCGTTTTTGAGAAAAAGTTAATTTACAAAAGTTACAACAAAAACTTTTTGGGTAGAGTAAACATTCTCAAACTACTGTAACGGTCAAAAATAGACCCCTTAAAATTTTGACCTTATACATGATAAAAAACGTAACCAGGGCCGATATCCTGACACCCCGGGTCACTTGATCGACCCTATCTGCCGTTATTCAAGCTAAAAATTTGTTGTTTGTACAGGAATACGTAGAATAAAACAACGAAAATTTATATATACTACTTGTTTTTCTAAGTTAGTTTGGTTACTTGTCTGTACAGCTCCAAACTCGAGTGTCTAAACTTTTTTCCCCGACAGTAGTCATGTTTTTCTAATGAGTTTATTGAGCCAGAAAGGATAATCTACTATAAGGTAGAAGACGCCTCTCAAGGTGAACATACATATTCAATCAGAAAGCAATTACCAATAAAAATCAACCTGTAATTACCTGTAAAATTACCTGTAATCTCGCCCCCTTAATCTAAAGCTGGATCCCCCCCTAGTTTGATAACACTTGTACACGTTCTCAAATGTTAAAAACAACTTCTTGTTTGATCAAAAATTGAATGTTTTCCTAGGTTTGAGGAAGCAGTTGAAAGAGCTCATTCAAAATTGGAGGCTTATGAGATCGTAACCTACCTCTTTAAACTGTGGTGCGTATTAAAAGAGCAACATTATTACACTGCATAAGTAACGCTTATTTTTTTTTTGCACACACAATATATCAGTTATCATTCTTATTACAATCACTAAGGCAGGCTGATTGTCTAGTGATGTGTCCTCTATGAAGCATGATTCATATGTCACCATCTTAACTCTTAATCTTAATGCCCGCAAGAAGTGCTTAGTCCAAATGAAAAAGGCCATAAACTGTGTTAGTGTTACTACCAAAACACCCGAAACTACCATGTTCTGGAATACCAGATTTGTAAATAATACCAGCATAGTGTTCTGTTGAACTTACGGAATAATACGGAAGAAATCTAGACTGCAGGGTTATTTTTATTGAGTGCCAAGTTTACAGGATTTAGGGCAATTTTGTAGTAAAATGTTACATTCATCATAGTGTTTAAGTGTGATCTATATCATGAAGGATCTGTGCATAGAAGTTTTGTTTCGCTCCAATAACAGCTGTTAATAATTTGAATAGGATCACATGATAAGTTGGCTGTTACAAGGCATCTTTTTTGTTCAACCACACTATCATATGGCGTAATTTCAGGGAGGAGACAAACAAAATATAATAATAAGCTAGTTGTGAGAATTATTGTGTAAGCCTTATTAACCTTCTGCCTTGTTTCAGCAATAAGACGAGTCAGGCGTTGAAGACGCTGAATGTGAAGCACCAACCAGCAGCCGTCGCTGAGCAAAGATTGTTGTTGTTTAGCCGAGTGAGAACAACGCTTAACTGTGGCATGAAACTTCTGGGACTAAGACCTCTCACAGAGATGTAGACTCTCGGAGCAAAGCAAAGTTGTGAAGCTGTCAGTAGTTTCAGTTCATGTCGGAGCTAAGAGACCACTGGCCATGTTGTGAGAAAAATACTTTTCTACTGTTCCTGCATTGGCTCATAAAATCATTAAATAATAGCTTGTAGTTAAACAACTCTTTTTAGTACACCCTATATACTCCATACTTTACCACGATCACTGTGTAGTAGGGAGAGTTCTGCTGTGTATTTCTTACAGGAGTTTTAGTGACACTAGTCCAGTTCTTAATACGTCACCAAGTTCTTTCCGGTCTCAAATTACTCAGTAAATGTTTGGGTTTATTTTTTAAATCACTAAATAATAGCCTATGTGAAAAATTTAAAATTGGTCTGTCTTATTTAACATTATTTTTTTTTTCGAGATTTGTCTTTAGTTTAAAACATACACCCCAAATAAAAAAATAAAAATCCCTAAACTCTTTATAATCTTAAACAGTTCGTCAAAGTATTGACTTTTACTTAAGCTGTAGATTATTATTGGGAATTATTACAATTGGGGATATATGTACTTAACTAAAGACAAATTTCGAAATACAAATAATTTAATATTAAATTAAGGTGCATGACTCATTTTTAATTAGTCAGATTTTATTTAGTGACTAATAAAATTAAAACCTAATTCTTTACTGAGTAATTTGAGACCAGAAAGAACTTAGTGACGTATTAAGAACCTGAGATATAAATCTTTTAATAATAACTGATTTCTAAAAAGTTAAATTTAATATTTTGTTGGGGTTGGTAGCTAGTCTCTAAGATTTTAATGATCAATAGCTCAAATGAAAGCCCTTACATCATTAAATATTTAAGAATGAACTGCAAGCGTAAATACCAACTGGAGATATACCTAAGGAAAATAATCTTAACAAAATTTTCAAAGTACAAAATGTTTAAACGAAAAAAGGTATTCAAAAACAGATTTTGGCAATGGAATGAGCGTGAAAATCTAGTTTGTAATAATGTGTCACAACAACACTGTCATAACAACAAAAAAGATTTACAATATGGTGGATCCAAAATGACGGCCAAAAACATGTTCCCCATCGAAATGAAGTACTGACCACCCAATAAATATCGGTTGAGTTGAGTTTATCTCGGCAAAAAAACATACTAAAGTTATTACTTTCAATATATCATTATATCTGTAACAAATTGGAACAGAACAAAGACTCAATATACTAAATTGTTTGTTTTTTTTGTGCGGAATCTAATGGTGAAAAAATAAATTTGAAATTATAATAAACTTTGTACAAAATATTTGAAAAACTTCTATTTGAGGTCAAAACCTTATTTTTTTAGCACATAACACCCCCAAAACCACTCTTTGGATTACGTTGTCTGTCTGGTTTTCATTTTCATGATTGGAAATATAGTTCTACATAACGTGTTTACCAATTTTCGTGGAAATCGGCCAATCCTGAAGTATAAACCCACGAATTTGCAGTCATCTTGTAGATTTGAGGACCTCACGGTGGCCATCTTGGAAAATCCGCGACTTCCGGTTGTCCAATTTTGGTAGACTTTTTTCCAGGTACTTACTACACTGTCAAATCAAATCAAATCAAATCAAACATCATTTATTCCATGATAAACAAAAAATTACAAAACAGTATTCTTAATATTAATGGAATTTCCCCACATAGGCGAAACCTGTGCGTGGGGAACGAGTTATTATCAGACTATCCATATTATAATCTAACATTGTTTTAATAATAATTGTTACTCTAACTACTAATAACACATTTACCAAAAAGGAAAAAAAACATTTTTACCAGGAAGCCACAGCAGATAACGAAAGTATTATGGAAATATCTGAAAAGAGTAAGATAGAGACAAATCTAATAATAATAAATAAATGATAAAAAAAACTAGAAAAAAAGGGTATTTAAGGGTACTGTATTTAATAATACTGTGAAAAACACTGGGACTTGGAAACCATTCATACAACTTCTACCCCCACTCACGCAACCACTCACTGTTACTACCAAAAACCGTTTAAAAACCTTTTGTTGGAATTTGTTCTAAGTTGGAGGCTTTTTTGGAGGCTATGGACCCGTCTACACACTCGTCCGGTAAACATTTATTTTCAGGACTAGTAACGTAATACTAATACTGTATACTATTAAACTAACTCAAACTCCATATTTTTTTACGAAAACATTACTTTCTTCAATACTAAGGGGAGAAAGTAAAAGTAAAACTAAATGATAAATGAATGGGAAAGAGTCCAAACTGGCACAGGAAACACAAAACACAACTTTACACTATATACACAAAACATTAGAATATTTCACTGTCACTGACAGCATTTTCAACTAAGGAAGAGGAAGAGATAGTTTTCTAGATGTCCAAAATGGTGGCCAGTGAGTTGTTGAGTCAGTGTTGCCAATAGTATGAATTCAAAAAACACAGTTTCAGTTTATCTTTTATGCACTATATATATATGAATAAATATGTAAGCCTGCTAGTTGGGTTGGATATTGAAGTGGAGTGGGTTAGATTAAAGGTATTATCTCAGGTTTAGGTTTGGGGGTTGTCTAGACTTAGTAAACCATTGATAAGACAATTCCCATCTTCTCAGTTGTGACTGGTTACATTGAGGGGGCAGTGATTTGACTATTTTGGTTGTAAAGCAGTCATTGAAACTAGGGTTGTTGTGGCTCTGGGCATGTTGTACAACTGGTTTGTCTTTGTATCCAGTAGATACATCTTGTCTATGGCCATTCATCCTGGTTCTGAGGCTATTGGTGGATAGGCCTACATACTGTGCCTCACATTTGTTACATTGTAGTTGGTAGATAATGTTCTTCGTTTCACAAGTGTTGAAGCCTCGGATGTTGTAGTTTTCTTTGGTTGTGGAACTGGAAAATGTTTGGCTGGGTTGATTTATTTCACATGTTTTACATCTCTTGTTATCACAGGGATATGAACCGTTAGGGCGTGCGTTGTTTGGGTTGTTGTTGGCCGGGTCAGGAACTTTTGGGTGGACTAGTATTTTTCGGAGATTGGGTGGTTGTCTAAAAACAATGTTAGGTGGATCTTTCAAAAAATTGATGGTGTGGTTGGAGGCCTTGAGGATTTTGAAGCCCTCTTTTAAAATGCCATTCAATGAATGTAGTCCTTGGTGGTAGTCTGTGACAAGAGCAATGTTTTGGCTATTTCGTTTTTCATTATTTGGTTGTGGATCGTCTTGCGCTAAGCGGATTTGGTTCTCCACCAGCTTTCTAGGGTAACCCCTTTTTATGAATGCGTCAGATATTTTGTTATTGAACTTGTTTAATTCATCATCGTTGCTGCAGATCCTTTTGCCCCTGATGGCTTGACTGAACGGGATGGATCTTTTGGTGTTCTTTGGGTGGTTGCTGTTAAAATGTAAATATTGTAGATGGTTGGTAGGCTTGAAGTGTACACCGGTTTGTATGAGTCCATCTTGAATATTTATTTCTAGGTCCAGGAAAACTATTGTTGATGTTGAGATGTTGCTGGTGAATTTAAGGGAACTGAAACTGTCAAGGCTGTCAATAAACTGTTTTAAGGAGTCTGAGCCTGAGGTCCACAAGATAAAAATATCGTCTATAAACCGGAACCAACACAAAGGTTGTACTTTTTGGGATTGTAGGAAACATTTTTCGAGTTTCCCCATGAACAGATTTGCGTAGGATGGGGCCATCCTCGTACCCATGGCAGTGCCTTTAGTTTGTAAGTAGTTTCTACCTTCAAATTGAAAATTGTTTTTTTCTAGAATGAACTTAACCATGTTCAGTAGGAAAGAAGTTGAGGGCTTAGTGTTTTTGGGGCGTTGATCCAGGAAAAATTCTATAGCCGCAAGTCCATGTGTAAGGGGGATGTTAGTGTACAGGGAAGTTACATCTATGGTAGCCAAAATCGTCCCAGGAGGAAGAGGTGTTGGTATGGTTGTCAGCCGTTCTAAGAAGTGGTTGGTGTCTTTAACATGTGAAGGTAATTCTCTGACAAAAGGTTGCAGGTGAGAATCTACATATGCCGAGATTCTTTCCGTGGCAGAATTGCAACTGGCAACTATAGGTCGGCCAGGGGGTGGAAAAACGTTTTTGTGTATCTTGGGCAGTATGTAAAATTGAGGGGTAGAGGGGTTGTCATTTATGAGTAGTCTTATTGATTCAGGGGAATTATTTTGGAGAGGTGCTTCTTTAACGAGCCACTGTGTGAGTTCAGTATTAAAATTGTTGGTTGGGTTTTCATCAATCTCTTTGTAGGTGTCTTTGTCGGATAACTGTTTGTAGGCTTCAGCAGTGTAATCTTTTTTGTTCATAATTACAGTGGTGGATCCTTTGTCAGCTGGTAGTATCATAATGTTTCTATTATTTTTCAAGGATTTTAGAGCTGTTCTTTCTCCTGGAGTCAGATTGTCGTTTTTTGGCAGTTTCTTCAAGAAATTAGGGTCTGTGACAGTTTGCATTATGAAGTTTATGTACAGTTCAATCGGACTTTCATTGTTTTTAGACAACCACCCAATCTCCGAAAAATACTAGTCCACCCAAAAGTTCCTGACCCGGCCAACAACAACCCAAACAACGCACGCCCTTACGGTTCATATCCCTGTGATAACAAGAGATGTAAAACATGTGAAATAAATCAACCCAGCCAAACATTTTCCAGTTCCACAACCAAAGAAAACTACAACATCCGAGGCTTCAACACTTGTGAAACGAAGAACATTATCTACCAACTACAATGTAACAAATGTGAGGCACAGTATGTAGGCCTATCCACCAATAGCCTCAGAACCAGGATGAATGGCCATAGACAAGATGTATCTACTGGATACAAAGACAAACCAGTTGTACAACATGCCCAGAGCCACAAAAACCCTAGTTTCAATGACTGCTTTACAACCAAAATAGTCAAATCACTGCCCCCTCAATGTAACCAGTCACAACTGAGAAGATGGGAATTGTCTTATCAATGGTTTACTAAGTCTAGGCAACCCCCAAACCTAAACCTGAGATAATACCTTTAATCTAACCCACTCCACTTCAATATCCAACCCAACTAGCAGGCTTACATATTTATTCATATATATATATATAGTGCATAAAAGATAAACTGAAACTGTGTTTTTTGAATTCATACTATTGGCAACACTGACTCAACAACTCACTGGCCACCATTTTGGACATCTAGAAAACTATCTCTTCCTCTTCCTTAGTTGAAAATGCTGTCAGTGACAGTGAAATATTCTAATGTTTTGTGTATATAGTGTAAAGTTTTGTTTTGTGTTTCCTGTGCCAGTTTGGACTCTTTCCCATTCAGGTAAGCCTGCTATCCTCTCAAAAAATCCTAAAAAATCTAGGCCCTTGTGCTCTATGCTACACCCTTAAATGATAAATGATTTATTTAGCCATTCAGTATACAATAAATACAACATGCATTGTCAAAATCAGCCAAAATAAACAATACAGAAAGCTGCAATAAAACTAAAGACTATAAAATCAGCAAAAACCATGCAGGTGCACAAGCAAGCAAAATAAATAAATAGTACCTATACCTTTCAGATTCCTATTCTAAGGTACAATAAATGGGCCACCTTCATTGCAACATAAAAATCTTCTATTTTATACAAAGGGTTTGCCAATAGCCACTTCTTCAGAATAATTTTAAATTTTGAATTTGGAAGTGATTTCACTTAAATATAAACGTTGATAGCAGTCATGATCTGCAACTCACAAAACAATGTTTTACAATGAGCCTGATACTCAGTCCTACAGATTACCCTGACTGCCTTCTTCTAGCAACTGAATCTTCTGAGTCTGGGGGGAGTAGCCCCATAGCCTATGGTTCCATAAACAATATGAGCCTGAAAGAAAGCAAAAAAAGCAAGTCTTACAAAATCAAAGGGCATCTCGTATGAGAGCTTACGAATCAGACACGTTACTCTTTTTAACTTGGTGCACAGTGCTTCAATGTGGTCACTCCACCCAAGCTCAGAGTCAAGGGTGAAACCCAACAATTTTACTGCCTCTTGCTTATTCACATTCTTGCTAAGACTGAAAAGGATTTCCTGTGTTTTCCCCTGGTTAAGAGCTAGTCTATTGCCCGAGAACCAATCAGTGGCAGTATTAAACATTCTACTTACAGCTAGTTTAGCAGCTACAGGATCTAAATCGCTAGCAAACAGGGTTGTGTCATCTGCGTATAGCAGCACATCATTTGACACATTGTAATAAATGTCATTCATGGCCACAATAAAAAGGAAAGGCCCTAGTATCAAGCCCTGAGGGACCCCATGCTTCACTTGAAGCGGACTGGAATGGTCACCAGCCCAGCTTACCACCTGAGACCTGTCTTCAAGATATGAACGGACCACCCTGAGTGCAAACTCCCCCAGTCCGAGTCTCTCAAGTTTATCTAAAAGAATATTATGCGGCATACAATCGAAGGCGCGAGATAAATCACACAAGAGAACAGCAGTAGAAGACTGCCTCTCGAAAGCGTCCAAAACAACTGTATGAGGGAGTCCACAGCGGTGACTGTGGAAAAGCCTCTCCGGAAACCATGCTGAGCCGGAACAAGGAGACCATGCAACTCTAAGTGGCCATACAACTGGTTTAACATTAAACCCTCAAGGATCTTACTAAAAACTAGCAACAGAGATACAGGTCTATAACGAGCCATGCTATTTCTGGGCTTCTTTTTGTACACAGGTACAGTCCTTGCCCTTTTTAGGACTTCCGGAAAAACCCCTTCTAATAGGCAGCAATTGAACAGATGAGCTAGTATTGCGGCAATAAATGGTACAATATTTTTTTTAAACTCAGTGGACATATCAAACACGATGAGGGAGCATCGACGGATCTCACTTGTTCAAGTCACGCACAGACAAAATATATTGATTGAAATTGGCAAGCTCTGTTAGAGTACCAATTTTTAAGTTTATTAGGCCTATTCACACTCGACAATGTACTGCCCATAGTCTTTTGAATTAGAGGAAAATGCAGATCAAAAGTGTCCTTGAATTTCAAACAGAAATCCGTAAAGGCCACCGCCACCTCCTAGCCCGAGAGTTGAAACATGGACCATTTCGTCCCCGTGTCTACATTCAATTAATTGGTATATTATAACCAATGAACAAAGTATTAACAAATTAATTGGTTAATACTTTGTTCTACTGTAGAGGTAACTTTTAAGCCAGTTGAAGCTATCCCTTATTTTCAGTAATCCCATTTTTAACAATTTTCTCTCATCCTATAATTTTTATATCCCAGCGCACTGATACCAAATTTTGACGACGTTGTGATAATGACGATGCTATGGAACCAAAAGCTGTCGACCTTATGGGAATATTTTGACGTAAAGGGGTATCGGCGTTCGAGACCAAGGGAGAATGTTTAATCTATGGTTAGAGGTTGCCGATTCTATGGTCTGGTCACCGACCCCACGAAGGAAGAAGCAGACGACAACGGGAACGGACACGGTGACTGACAACACTGGGACACTCAGTAGGTGTCAGTTTTTCGTTTTCGTTTTCAGTTTTGTTTTGAAAAACAAAACAATAACAAATAGGCTAGTTAGTAGAGGAGAGGGCTAGGCTAGTCCTATTTGTGAAATTGATAAGATAGGAAGATAAAATAAAACCAAGAGACATTGTAGTAATAAGTTAGAGTTGTCAATTTTGTATGAGTTATATTGTCCGTGGTAATAGAATTTTTAAGTTTTTAATTGAAAGGAGAAAACAAATCCACTTGAAGGTAACTGGTACAACTTAACCATACCTAAATTAATGTACCGGAATATGCCTTGGCCTACCGATAGGATAAACCCCTAGTAAAACTTTTTTTTTAAATTTCACTGTAAGTTAGGCTAGTATATTTTAAACCATGAACAATCATATCTCAATGATAACAGAATTGTTTGTTTTCAATAATAGTTCACTATTTTAATTGAAACATTACAATGCAGTTAAGTTAGTCTATGGCATTGCCAAAATTTTATGGCAGGCGGGAGAAATTACAACCTGGGTAATTCTGAGCAATTAAGTTACTTGGTCAACCCCAAACTTTTTCATATTTTAACACGGTCATTTTAAGGATGTTCTCAGAAAACAAGAAACATATAATTCAAGGCCATCGTACAGGTTGCCGAGCAATAAGAAGGTTCAAAGTCCACGCGATAACAGTGGCTTGGGGGGTGGGGGGGGGGGGGAGATGCGCGGAAGGCCAGTTGTGACAGTACCGTTAAGTTAGGTTAGGTTAGTTTAATTCATAACCTAACCTAACCTTGTTGGACTTGAATTATATGTTTCTTGATTTCTGGGAACATCCTTATGACCGTAGTAAAATATGAAAAAGTTTGGGGTTGACCAAGTAATTGCTCAGAATTACCACACCCTGATTTAGGCTACATCTTATGTTTGATAAAGCCAAAGATTATTTTGGAGAATATTAGGCCTATACTTTAGGCAATTGTCACTTTTTTGTTTATTGAATTATTTTAGTAGCTTCTTGCTAAGTAATGCGTTTGTTTTCAGATGACGTCAGTAACTAAAGTATCATGTAATCGAAGCTTCGAGGGCCATCAGTATGTGTTTTCCCATCATAGGTAAGCTCTAAAACTTGTTTTATTGATTGTAACTCCTATAAAATCCTTCCACCGTCATTGTTGAAACTCAAGTTTTTTAGAGAATTTTGGAAACACGATGTAAGTAGTGGTGAGTAGGCCTGCCTATACAAAGGCTGTAAATGCTAAAACATAAAATAGCTGGGGGCTAACTTAGTACAAAACTAGAATGCATCTACAATTTTGTAATTATGAACAGTATGGTCTAGTCAAATAATCGTTAGTCTAGTTCCTCATTTCATTCAAAAGTCTTGCACATTGAGTAAACAGTCAATTAAAATTACAGTAGGTTTTTAAAAATAAGTTAAATCAATGCTTTAAGGTTCTAAAATAACTTAGACTACTGTATGCCTATTCTTTAAGAGCGCAAAACCTGTTATACCTACCTTTCTATTAATTTAATTATTCATTAATTAATCATTCCTTTTAAAAACTTAGTTAATATTATGTAGACAAGTTGACCAAAAATATTCTTTAGGCCTACGTAATTTATTTTTTAGGTATTTTTGTTGTCTCTAGCTTGATTTATTTAAAACTCATTCTTCTTTTTTAGCTCGGAGTTGAAATGTGAGATGAAATTTGCAATTTATCTTCCTCCGCAAGCTGAGTCAGGGGATGTCCCTGTTATTTATTGGCTCTCTGGTCTTACTTGTAACGAGCTCAACTTCGTTCAGAAAGCCGGAGCGCAGAAGTATGCGGCCAAACATGGAATCGCAGTGGTCTGTCCTGACACGAGTCCAAGTAAAGAGTTTATTTTATCTACGCTAGAAGTTAAATTCTTTATTTGTTAATCCAGTCCTTTGTTATTAATGAGTAAAAAGAATTTGTAAGGGCAGCAATGAG